TCTCTCTCCCCCCACGAACCCATTGGCAGACACTGATGTAGTGTGCTGCACCCAACTGCTTGACTTCTTCAGGAAATCAAATACCCCTCCAGAGCAAATGCGCACACTGGCCCTTGAGACAATCAATGTCAACTATCCTGGAGATCAACGGCTCCAAGTCTTCACTCATGGGTCATACATAGAAAACCAAGCAAACGTTGGTATAGGTGTCTATTCCGAACTCTTCTCTTTCTACGCAGCAGAGGGACACAATAGACCTCTTTCGAAGGAGAAATAGAGGCCATTAGGATAGCACTATGTCAATTATGTTGCCTGGATACGAAATTAACCAAAGCGGTGATACTTTCGGACTCACAGTCGACAATAAACTCAATTGAAAGCAGAGAGCCACCCAAAACAGCTGAGATAGACGAATGTAGAAAACTCTATGAGCTACTGAGAGAGAAAAACAAAACAGTATTCCTACAATGGATTCCTGGTCACTGTGGCATTAAAGGCAATGAGCTTGCCGACACACTTGCTAAGAAGGGGACAACGATTTTGCAATGCATGGACCAGCCGATGTCTTTCCACACAATGAAGGCCTTAATCAGAAGAGAATTCCAGACCTCAAGGTGCAACGAACTCAAAGCTCGAACAAAGGAGAAACAGTGGACAGTGGCACTCTCCGATATAGCCGACTGGCCAAGAATCGAAGCCGTTTAGACTACGTACCGGACATGATTGCTTGGCAAAACATCTACACAGATTGGGAGTATTCACTCAACCCACATGCCCTCTATGTAACCTACATGAGGAAATGTTGAAGACCCACCTGATTCGATGTCCAGCCCTAAAGACAAGGACGGAAAGCCAAAGATACTGGGAAGCAAGAAGACTGCTAACGAACTGCTATTAATTAACTGCTATAAATGTACCCCACCACCCTTGGGGGAAGCTGAAGTCAAAGTTTAAGTGTTAATGATAAATATCACAAAGCCTACCCCTTGAAATAATGATAACTTCCACAGCACTAAACTTAACTTTTTCTCTTCCTTTGTCTGTCTATCTGTCTCTTCTCCATTTGTGAATCACTCTTCTGTTCTACGCCCCCCCCCTTCTCGACTTTGTGACATCGATGCTCTACCCCTCTGTGGAGCCCGAAATCAATTATATTGTTAATGAAAACTATCATGAAGCCTGCCATTTGATATGAATAAAGTTCCAACTTAGAATACAATTTCAATTCCATAAATTCGACAAAATTTGCGTTACCACAATGATTAACAATGAGGAATATTGCAGTAAATTTTCCTCCCTTTAGGCAAGTAAATTCTCCCCTGAATTAACAAAGCCCCCCCCCCCCCCAACAACCAATAATCAATCCACTATGAATGATGTCTTCACCGCTAAACCAGTGAAATATTTGAACCTTCATAAAGATTCTAGCACAATATTTAACTTAACATAATATTTCAAAAATCTGAGCTCTAAAGGATAAAACAAAAATATGGAATAGTAAAATTACATAAAGCTGCAGAATAGCTTCAAATACTATTGCTTTGGACGAAGTCAATAGCATAAAGGGGAATGAACATTTGAGCGTAAATGAGAGCTTCTACCCTAGAGATTGTACTGACATTTTGTTAGTAGAATATCAGTATTTTCATTTGATGGGGCAATAAATAACACTAGTTGAGAATGATAACTTGAGCTCTACTGTTCGCGAAAAAAACACGATATCATGATACAAGTTTTGGAAGCCATGTTTACTTAAGTATCCAATGGCAACCCCCCCCCCCCATAATTTCCTTATGTACTTTTCAAGGTATGCCGATTTGTGTTGAAATGCATGAATTATTCAAAATTCCACTTTAGACTTTAATTTTTATGAACTCTTTTGAGTTGTTATATATTTGAAATACCGCCGATTGGCGTTCCTTCGTTTACCTGATTGTACAAAATACGCAAAGGAGGTATGATTAACCACTCAAATAAACAAAGAAATACTTGGTTGCCCAAAATCCTGCAGTTTGAAGTATTTAAAATTTGCGATTCCTTCAAAGTCTCCTTCCCCACTTTCCGAAATTTTTTGGCATTTTGCTTGCTCAAGACCGAAATCTGCAGATATTTATGAAATTGTTGTGGCAATAAAAGACCTAAATGAAATATGAGAAACATATGGTTATAAGTTTCACTACCCGCAAAACTAAGTTGAAACAACTGCGAGTGCTATTCAATAATTGCAGAAAGGGGGTGTGCGATAGACTTACCTCCACATGGTGCACCCTGGGCAGCGTATACTCATACGGCAAAATAGTCTATTAACCGGCAACTGATTTCTGACTTCAAACTACCATCACCTCACTGTATGTCATATTACACAGCTTTCACAGTACTCATCTCACCTTTTCTCTGCCTTTGTGTCTGTCTGTCTGTCTCCTCTACAACTGTGAATCACTCTTCTGTTCCCCCTCCCGAATTGTTCTCACTTTGACTTTCCTCCCTCTGCGAAACCCAAAGTCAGCTAAATGGCTAATGATAAATATTCAAAACGCCTGCCATTTGAAATAATATTAATAATAATCATTGCAGAAAGTGTGGTATTTGACTATCAACAGTACCCCGTGTTTTCAAGTAGCCTTAAGATATTTTGCAAAAAATAATTATTTGCAAACTTTAAATTTGATTAAATAAATTTGAATTACTACATTGGTGAGATGGGGAAAGGAGAGATGCATGATTTCATCGTAACAAAGCACTTTACAGTACTCGAATGGGATTTAACCGTTAGTAATTGTGAACGTCGAATGACAATTCAAAGCACGGGATCGCATTAATCATATGCTAGTTTTTGGAGTAAAAAAATTTAATGAAAGATAATACAAATTTTTTCAGTTTTCAAAAAGTAAGCTTTTTTTCTTAGTTCAAAGGATATTCCACGTTTTTTCACAAGCAAACAATTAGGGTCAGGGTTATTCATATTTATGAGTAAATGAGCTGAAATGCGCTCAACTTCACATAGAATCCCCGATTTTAAATAATTATATAATCTTGATAGATAATCTTTATTCACATAGCTACTATATAAAAGGTGGGATGACTTGAATGGCACTTTTTGTTATCATTAAAAAGAATAAATTAAAAGTGAAATGCTTTCTGAAAATTGTGATATACTGCGACATGAAAACATAGGGTTTCAAAATTCAGTTCAATTTTTTGAATTAGGAACAGCATTTTCCACAGTGAACGTACTTGATCGCATGAAATTAAGTAGGTTTTGTGATATATAATGGAACCAGTATCACCCTCTGTTATAATGTTGCTTTGAATGTTTTTATTAAACAAACGTACTGGAATAATCATAATCTGCGAGAATTTTTATTAATTTAAAAAATGGTGTATTAATTTCGTATAACCTGTTCCCGAGCTTGCATTGGTTCATAATATGCCAAAAATGTAAAATTACTTCACATAACAGCACTATTAGCTAACAATTTCTATGCAGTTTGATTTAAAAAATAATTAAAGTAAATAAGATATTTTATTTTTAATGGAAAATTTTTAATTTATCAAAATAATAAACTACATTAACCACGAAAATAAAACGAGATACTACTGACCTTAAACAACCTTGAAGGTCGCTGGTCAATTATTGGCAATTAGTACGCGAAATTCGCGACATTATAATACATTAACTCAGGGGATTTTTTTCAGAACATGGTGAACACTAGACGTGTTTCTATTATCGGTTCTGGAAATTGGGGCTCTACAATAGCCAAGATCATCGGTATGAATGTTTTGCATTTGCACAATTTTGATGACCAGGTTTGAATTTTTCTTTAATTTTTTATAAATATAGGTGAAAATGTGGGTTTTCGAGGAAATGGTTGATGGAGGGAAACTTACAGACGTAATTAATACGAAACACGAAAATGTAAAATACCTACCTGGTATCAAGATACCTTCAAATGTTCTTGCAACCCCATCCCTTGAGGAATGTACACGTGACGTTGATGTCCTAATCTTCGTTATGCCCCATCAATTCCTCTCAAAAATTTGTCTGACCATGAAGCCGTTCATTAAGCCAGGTGCTTATGGGTGTTCTTTGATCAAGGTGAGAATTCGTCTATAAAAGCACCCTTTCGTCAATTCTATAGTTATCCAGTGCCTGTATTAGAATTTGATTAATGTTTTCGTCAAGATTTTATTTAGATGTGTATAATTATCGCATTTCAACAGTTAATCAATTAAGCTTTTCTGTTCTTTCAGTTCGTGTTACTCTAATTTACTTTATAGAATTTGCTTATGTTTGTTGCATAGGGTCACATGTCTTGAAGATTCTTTGTAATTAGAAAGTGCAATTTGTTAATTTTTTTAGCATAGCTAGGGTCTTGTTGTTGCTCGGTTGTATGAACCTGTTTTTATTTAGATTGTGTACTCTCAGATTTGTTTATATTTTTATTGTTTACAAAATCTAAATACCTAAAAGTGGGAATAAACAATTAGTTCTCATTTGGCCAATTTCCTAATCACTCAAAAAGCAGTTAAAGCTAAAAAATTGATCTTGTTGAATCCGATTTCCAAACTTTGGCAGTACTTACATTTTTGAGCATGTTTCTATTTGATTCATATGACTACTCTTTTCTTGAAAATTCGGTCTGCTGGCGTTGTCTACGAAAATGCCTTAAAATGTAAGTTACTTGCTAAAAATTGTCAGAATTTCTCGACAAGTTGACAGTGCGCTAGGGGCCATGAGGGCAATAGTATTTATGACTGGTTGATAGCTGTCACATGCAAAAATAAATTTCATTTAATATTATCGTGAAAACTACATCATGTGTCTAAAGCAGGTTTTGCTGAATTAAAAGTGTACAACACGGATAAAAGTTCACCGTGAACTGTATTCTATGTTAGGCTTGTATTTGACCCCCAGGTGTAAACTTGCATCAAATTAATTTTGTTTCAACCAATTAGATCTCACTGTGCCTCGTTTGCCAAGTTATCGTCTGCTTTTCTTAATGAATTTTCCTTACTCCGGCAAGATAAATTGCCATTGATGAGGAAATTTTCTTGTTTCCTCCTATATTGATTAAAATCAATATTTTTCCCCCATTAAACGACAGTGAAATGCTTGCAAGTAGTTTAATATTCATTTGTGATTGATTCTATTTTCTTGCGTTAAAGCATCGTCTTTAATGCTTTGGGAGAAGCATTCGCAATTCTTGCAAGTTAAGCTTCACTTATGTGGGGTGTTAGATATTATTTCAAAGTTTGATAAGAAAGCAAATAACATTATGTCAAAACCGTTTTAATCAAAATAACTTCAAGTGGGGGGTCTATTCCAGCCTTAATTCGACCCCAGAACCTGGAGCACACTGCTTTGCACTTTTCCTGTGATGATTTGCAAAGGCTACAGGTGCTGGAGAATCATCTGAAAATCATGAAGGTCTACTTGGGAAGTAGTTTTATATCTTGGCAAAAAATCTGATTTTCTATGCCTCAGCAGGATAGTTTACTTTGCTCAGAAGTTTCTTCAACGTTGTCAACCGATATTCGTGAACCTTTTCTGTGAAATGGTGCTCACTGCTGCGCAAGCGTATTCATTTAGTGTCAGCTTCATGTTTGAGGCTGAAGTATTCAGAGAGATGTGGCAATAAAAAAGAGTGAACCAGAGCTTTTTCTGCAACAGATTTTTTTTGAAATCTGCTGTGCTCGAGCGTAGACCGATCAGATGGTCTTTTAACGTGACCTTCTTCTAGCCACGGCACCCTCGTCGTCTCCATTTCCATTTCTCCTGTTCAGGGTTGAATCGCTTCCACGATGTTGAGGAGGCATTGAGATTGGGAAGTCTCATTAGATTCTCTTTATTTTGGATGGTAGGCACAAATTGCCATGAATCAGGTGGGTTTCAGTCGTCATGTATTTGCCTTGTGATTGTGCCCAAAAGAATGAAGAGGAGTTTAAAAAATGTTAAAGGGGGGGATGGGTGTAGTGTGCTTGAACACCTTTAGCACATCTGAAAATGTGCCCTATTTTTTTTCATCAAAGGTAGATTCTACTTTGTTTGTCGTTTGCGATTTATAGCTGCAAGCAGAGTATGTTTTCACCAACTTTTTAATGTATTTTTAAGCTCTTAATTGCTGCCAGTATATCTTGATTTCAATTTTTATTTGTTAATTAGTGTCACTATTTCCTTGTTTATTCAAAGTTCTTTTTCTGCCTCCTCTTTTTAAAAGAAGCCATTTCTCAACGATCAAGGCCAGTGATTGGTTGAAATTTAAGGAAAAACATGTTAAAATCTAGGTTCCTAATTAATGTATTTGTAGACCACTGTTTAATTTCTATAGAAATTATGATCATTTAAAGGTGGAATCGGTGTTTGATTGATGACATTTCGTTAAGAATTAATTAAACCCTAATCGACTATTTTCCTACTGTCCAAAATGTACTGATAAATGTTGCCTAGTCTTGTATTATAAAAGAAATTCCTTCCCAAATAGTCTGCAAATTTTGTCTTGCACCTTCAGGTAACATGCTTGTCATGACGCAAGAAATCGTGAATTTGTAGGCGTATTTAGAAGGAAGTAACCCCAAGTGTATGACCATTTTTTAAATTCAACAATATTTTAACATGGCTGTCTTCGGTGCATAAAAAGTCCATTCTTGGCCAATGTTGAATATCATGATACTCTATTGAGTGCACTTTAGCGTGCCTAAGTTTTGACCACCGTGACATCCGTGACTCAAGGAGCATGGATGAGTAATGGAAAATTGTTCACAATCCAGGCCCCCTGGCCCTCATCTTAAGTCTGGCAAATCGAGATAATCGTAATTACTGTTCTAAAGCACCCATCTTTATTTCAAATTCACGCTGGGTTGGAGGTATAATACAGCCTCATACAATGCTATGGAAAGAAATGATCTTGCCACGATTCCTTGTCTAATTTCCTCAAATTTGGCTACGTCGCCGGATTATTGGCCTCTATTTCCTCGTCATAACAGGTTTCACCTTTTGATCGCATTTGTGGACATTTTGTTCATCTAAAAAGTATTAGCCACAATTTTTGGCTAAGAGCTGTTATCTGACGTTCTAGTTAAAATTGCCCATCGTGAACTCTACTTTAGCTTGAGAATATTGATCTGTGTGTCTAGTGTGACCCATCTTTTGGTCACATATGGTGGTCATCATTTAAATCCACGCCTGTCTGGTTTGGAGGTCAAATTTGAGGTAATTTTTAAACTGAAGATTAAAGATGGCACCCAAATTTTGTTTCTAAAATGGAAAAATAGTGATATTATAAATATGAACCACGAAATTAAAGAGACCTTCTTCACCTCGTCTTTTTCTGCTCTGTTAACTTACAATCATGAATCTGTAAATTTATCTCTTATATCTATGGTACTTCATCATGCGATAGAAAACAGTTTATAAATCATGTAGTGGGACTTCCAAGACGATTTTTAATGTCTCTACAACTATCGAATAAGTGGTCTAGTCCTCTCTCACTTCTCCTTTTAGGGCCTGAATGAGAAACCAGGTGCTGGCGTGTCTCTTATAACGGATTTGATTCGTGACATCCTTAAAATTCCCTGCGCTGTGATGATGGGAGCCAATCTTGCCAACGAAGTTGCTGAGAACATGTTCTGCGAAGCCACAATCGGTTCACTCGATCGTGCCAGGGGTCTGGAACTGAAGGAACTTTTCGAGGTATTTCCTCTAAAAATAAGGTCATCTCTGTTTATATCACGGTTGTGTGACCTCCGCTGTACACGATCAGCACCCAATTCATCTAGCATTCTAGCTTTAACACGTGCTGCTATTACTTACAAATTCCTTGGTTGACTAAATTTATGTTTAAAGTGTTAAGCACAACACAATGGTCACACTAACTGTTTCATGTGCTAACCTCGATTTTATACGGAGTTGTACTAGAATTTAACGTCAGCAATGCAGGAGGGGGGGGGGGGGGGGGTTGATTTTCCACGTTCGTTCACGAGTTGGAATGACCTTGCACGCCTTTTCCGTCCTATGCGTGCCCATCTATATAGTTGGTCTAAAATCAAAACTAAATAATACTCTCTACTTACAGCATATCAGCAGTAGATTACAAATTGAAATTTATTTTACAGACTCCAAACTTCAGAATCTCGGTAATTTCTGACGAGGTGGGGGCTGAATTGTGTGGTGCCTTGAAAAACATCGTCGCTATTGGAGCTGGTTTGAGCGAGGGCTTGGGCTATGGAGAGAACACCAAAGCGGCGATAATTCGTTTGGGATTCATGGAAATGAAACGATTTATCTACGAATTTTTCAGCAACCGCGGTACGTTTTCGCATTTACAGAGTTAATTTATTTGCTTTAAAGCAGTGTACAAATGACCTTTTTGATCAAAGGTAGTGTTTTTGCCTTCTTTTGGCTAATCAACTGCGAAAATTACTCGTTTACCTTTGTCAGAGGATTAATTTAGTGTCTTTTGGGTTGGACTTAAATTGACTCTTTTTTCACCTTGTAAATTGGAATTAGCCTCGATTGATGTACGATCCCCATAATAATTAGGATATGTGGTTAAAGCGAGATTAATCGTTCCTTTACCCAGGGGAATAAGCAATTCTCTTTTTTCGCTTTGTGGTTGTTTGGCGTTATTGGCCTGGAAAATTCATTTCCCTTGTGGGCTAAACATGGCTGATTCCAGGCTTTGGCTCGGTTTATTTTCCCTGAAGAAAACGCGCATTATGATGATTTCACCTTCTATGAATAATTTATTATGCGTTTGAATTGTTTCCAGTCCGAGCCATACTCACGATGGAGATTTTCTCAATGAAATAGGCTTTATTTTTAATAAACAATTATCTAGTAGTTAAAATGTTGCTCTTTGAGCATTCCTCTTCTGTTTCTTAAGCCTCCTGACGCTCTAATTTGGAATTCCATTTCTTTAATTCCTCATGCCGATTTTGTGTCGACATCTGCGCGTTTCATCATCGTTTTATATCCAAACCACTAGTCTCCAGACTTTATACTATGTACATTCCAATTTTGTTAATAGGTCTCCTGGAGCAAGTTACTATCCCCAATATTTAATTGTTTAATTGGTATGGTTGGTCTTGCCACTTTCAAAGATCGTGAAAACGAATTGGCCTGGGGGCTATCAGAGTGCATGTCATATCATTTTTTATTGCGAAAACTCGCATATGAAGCGAAGTCATAGGCTTCATCCGTATTCCACTGGTTTATGATCTATTGAGATTATTGGATTCTATTTGTTACTGAACCGTCAGCCAATTTCGTCTTGCCCTGTATAATAATAATAATAATAGAATCATCTGTCTTTTAATTCAATTGGTTATTTATAAAAACCGTGACCGGAGTACAACTTTACTATGTGCTTGGCACTATCGCAGTGGAATTTTTTTATCCTCATGCTTTTCATATTGGAGAATTTTCAATTCATTTTTCAATGGTATTATTTACAGTGCGTTCGACCGTTTTCTCTTCCGGACCTGCTAACTAGGTTGGAATGTGACGCTTGAATTTCTATTTGCCAGATTTCGAGGTTGTTAGTTGAGTGTATTTGGCTGTCCCACCACCATCTCTCTCGTCTTCTGACGAGTTCTAATTGAACTCTCCCATCCACTCTAGCCTTGCATTGCTTGTATTTTTGTGTTCCCTTCTACGTATTCCAGTCTTCTAATCAAATCACTTCCCTCCGTAGTTGTTCCTACATCATTTTTGTTCAATTTACTAAGTCACTCATTGAGAAGCGAAATTTTCACTACCAAAGATTGGTGTGGCTGTGCTTTCCACTAAAAGACTGCTATTTCCTCACAAATTTGGACTTCTAGAAGCGATCGTTATCTCAATGAGTAATTTGGAATCAGGTCTTGATGGATGTTCATTCGTACAGCAGCATGAGCAGTTTTGATGTGCATTTTCACTTTCAGTTCCGTCAAAAATGCTGATAATTGTCGCCTGTAAGAACTCAACAACAATAATAATCTTACTAGTCATAATAACCAGCTTGTATTAGATGAGATAATTCAGTATACTACACGGCTTCTGGCACCACCCAAGGAAAAACATTGGCTTTCAAGAGCAATTGTATTACAAACTACCAAAAAAGCCATTATTTCCGGAGTTGTTTCTTATCTTTTTCTCTAAAATACCCCTGGGTTCGTTGAAGTAGTCATTCAGTTCTCTAAACTTGACTGAAAGGAAATATTAATCGGTCAGTTTTTGGTTTCTCTTTCAATTGGCATGGCTAGATCTCTCAAGGACCGCCTTTCCTATTAAGCTTCATTAAGTGAGAATCATTCAGTCAACTGGTGAACTATGAATCCTTGTCTACACTTCCATTGTCTTTGTTTAGCTTATTTGTAGCTTTCTAACATTTCTAGTCTGTCTCAGAACGAAATCAATAAGTCGTACTGAATTATATTCAATAATTTATATTGGTAATTTATTATTTCTAATGGAGATGCCTCTATAATTTAATAACACATATGAATCTCCTTAAAAAAATCGACTGACAACTAGGGCGAATGAATGTTCAAAGTTCTTATTCGACATTTAAAATTTATTTATATCAAATGGCAGGCGTTTTGATGGTTATCATTAGACCTCTAGTTGATTTCAGGCTTCACAGAGGGGTAGGAACAACAAAATGNAAAATCGACTGACAACTAGGGCGAATGAATGTTCAAAGTTCTTATTCGACATTTAAAATTTATTTATATCAAATGGCAGGCGTTTTGATAGTTATCATTGGTCCTGGAGCTGACTTCCGGGCTTCACAGAGAGGAGAAGGAACATCAAAGTGACAAAAAGTCGAGAGGGGGAACAGGAGAGTGATACACAGGTGTAAAAGAGACAGACAATGGCATATAAAGGTAAAATGAGTACTGTGGAAGGGGTCGAATATGACAAATTGCCGGGCCATAGTAGTTTGAAGTCAGAAGTCAACTGCCGATCAATGGACTTTTTTTGCCGTATAAGTATACGTTGCCCAGGGAGCACCACGTGGAGGTAAGTCTATTGCGCACCCCTCGACATTTAAAATAGCATTTAATGGGCACAACATTTTATGAGCTTTTCCAGGAAAACGATTATTTAATACCTTAACACACTGACTCTATCACTGTTTCGCTTAATTTTTTTGCTTCTATTATTCAATCTGCACTTGTTATTTTTATGGTTTGAGAAGCTCTCAATCATTTCCCCATTTTATAAATCAACAAACAGCTGAGTGAATTGCGTTATTTATCTCTGAGATGGAGGGGAAAAACAATTCCATTTGCCATTTAAAAGTTTGTTACTCTTCACTCCATTTGCCGACTTCGTTACACACAACTCTCACTCAATTCTCTTGCCAGGGGATGTAGCGAAATGCTAGGGAATGGCATCACTCCTCAGCTTAATAAGTTGTTTCTTTCTAACGCGCTTCTCGTTAGTCCATCATTTTAGTTACCTCCGCACATATTTATCTGCTTGGAGCATCTCATTCTCATACCACAGCTGCCACTCAAATGACGCCCTGAGTCTTGACAGTTCCTCTCCCCCCCTCTCTCCCTCCTAACTTGTTTGCCATCCATATCCTTCTTCTAACCTGTCAGTTTTTTACGACAGTAATTCTAGAGGTCAATAAACAAGGTGTATTTTTTTCCTACATGCGGTTTAAGAACTGCAGTAATTTTGTGCTCTCGTATTGATTGATCGACTTTTTCAAGGTCATTGATTTTAATGCTATTCGCCTACTGCGTGGAGTTATTCTTTAGGTTTAATGTCTTGAATGCACGCTCGCGTATGTGTGTATAAATAATCGAATGTCCTTAAGGTGATACCGCGTGGAGAAACAAGATCAGTGACTTTTCGAGATTGATTTTGATGAGGTATCCCCAATTAGGGACTAGAGGGGATCGCATTAGCAGTTAGAGTATGTGTAATCATGCCATGGCACAAAACTCCCAAGTTTTAAATATAAGATTGCATCAGAATACTCAGAGAGTAGTTGGTGATTCGGTAAGCCAAGATTTGTGATAATGTCAAGTCTAGTAATAATCTAATCTCTAGCATTAACAAATGGAATTTGATCTTTTCCTTCAATATGCAAGCACTTCTCGTTATAATCCCACTGTTTCTTGTTTTCAGGGTTTGTCCCGTGTTAGAATCTTTCAGAGTTTATTGGTCTACTAGTTCATTTCGTTAGCTGATCAATTGCTTGAAGTGCGCCTTTCAATAACCAATTCAGTGTCTAGATTTGCTGAGATAACATTATTTTGACATAGCTTAATAGAGTTCACTCAAGTGGAGATTTAGTAGTAGGTCATTCTGTGAATCTGTGGGGAATTGATTATCACGTGATGTTATTGGCTAATATGATTGTAACACAGAGGTGACCCAGAATTAATTCTCTTTAAGGTGTTTCGCTATGATTTACTTGATGCCCATTAAATAGAATTCCATTTCAATTATCATTGATTGTGGACTAGTGGAATTGATTCTTATGCAAACATTTGGTTTTTGTCTCACTGAAGGTTTTATGATGTGCCTTAAAAGTATTGAACCATCAAACCGAGTTGATTAATTCCAATAAGGGAAGGACAAAGTTTATTTATTATTCCATAGCGCTACTTTTTGCTAATATTACTGGATGTAGTCAGATTGATGGAATGCCATTTTTCTTTTCACATTATTCTTCCATCTGATTCCACGTCCAAGACGCCTTCGCAATTGCCTTCATTTCTGTCTCAATGAATTTTAAAATTCATCTCGATTTGCGATGGGAGAAGGAGGCTGAGGTGTGTTCTGTCGAAATGAAATATTTGCGCATTTGAAAGTGATTGCCGCAGCAATTTTTCATCTTTGTCGGTCATCTACAACTTTTTTTTGTAATTCTTTAAACCCTCGAAAATGGTCCTCGTTAATTAGTAGACTTTTAGCCAAATTAACGAATGTTTAATTATTGCATAAACTGTAGGGGGATTTTTGGCTATTTGGGTTGTTAATAAGATTATAACAGCTGGAAAATTTCGTTTATAAATTTAAATTTTCTCGAGTATTATATGCACGTATGAATTATTTAACACTCGAAATCTATGAAAAGTGGGATTTTTGACGAGGGAGGCCTCTTGGGGGTGTACGCACGTGGAGAAGATTGTTTTTTTTCAACTCCTACCTAATTCTTCGTGTTTTTTTTCAGACCGTATTCACTTAATTATTCAACTCTCCGCAGGAATGCCTGTGTGAATGCCTTTCTTACTGTAAAGGAGAGGTGGTAAACACGCTCATAGGTGGTATTACAGGCGACTGTGGTCGAATGTGTACCCTGATTTTATTATGCTAAAATCTCTCTCCT